GGTATAAACTTTTATTAATAAATTTGGATTTAATCGGCTGTAATTCGGCAGCCGAATAACCCAATTTGGACTAGTGTGGGTGCGTAGCTATTGATGTTCGACCATGTTTTATGAAATTCTATCCTAAGGCCGAAAAGAGCAGTTTAGCATATTACCTAAAGGAGTGTAAACTCGATAACAAGCTAGATACTCCTATCCATCATATGTTTAAGTATTATGGAAGGGCATTAAAGGAAACCAATGCTACAACGGCTGAGCAGATGCGTAAAGTAGCCGAATATTGTATTATCGATGCTATTAGCTGTCAGCAGTTAATGGTAAAGCGTAATGCAATTAACGAGTCCAGGGAGGTGGCATCTGTAGCCTTCATATCATTATACGATTCACATTATTTTGCAGTAGAAATGAAAGTGCGTAATCTTTTAAGTTCCGGAGCATGGCAGGAAGAAATTTTAACTAGCACAATTCCATGTGAACATACGGAAACAGGGAAGTACCCTGGGGTCTATGTTTTCCCATCAGTAAAAGATCTCGAAAATAGATGACCTGTAACCGGCTTAGACTTTGCATCATTGTATCCAAGCCTTATTATGACATATAATCTCTCACCTGATAAAATCATTTTATCTCGAGAGCATGCCAAATCTCTAAAAGAAACCGGTAAAAAGCTTCATAAGATTAATTTCAAATTCAATGGTCATGATGTTCTTGCATGGTCTATCGAGCATGAAAACCAAGCCGAAATGAAAGGCCTTTATCCAAAAGTATTAGAGAAGTTGCTTATTAGACATAATTCACTAAAAAGCCCTCTTGATCCATTAAAGGATAAAAAAGAAGAATTAGAAAAGGAGATTAATTTGGCGGAGGCAAGGGGTGGGGACAATACAGATGCTTTAAAATCCGAATACTCTTCAGTTTGCTTTAATATTACCTGTCTAGACACGAAACAACTCGCTTTAAAAGTGTATATGAATACGTTTTACGGTGAAGCCGGGAATAGCAGGTCTCCTTTCTTCTTGCGAGCATTAGCAGGCGGAGTAACATCAGCTGGTCAGCAGAATATCAAGCTTATTGCTGACCTTGTCAGAAGTAAAAGGTTTGGTGTAAAATATGGGGATACCGATTCATTATACCTTGTTTGTCCAGAAGAATATTTCCGGGAGTGTGATGAGAAATACATTTCAGAAAAGATATCGAAGGAAAAGTATTGGGAGGAGATGGTGAGAATATCTATGGAGGCAATGAGCAGACTCTGAGACGAAGTTAATGACTTTCTCAGGAAAGATAACGGTTCCCCTTATCTCAAAATGGCATATGAAGAAGTCTTATTCCTGGTAGTATTTACTGGAAAAAAAAAATACTATGGCATTCCACATACAAGTAAGCCTAACTTTAATAATAAGTTTTTTATTCGAGGGGTTGAGACTGTAAAGCGGGGGCAATCTAGACACTTTCGTGAGGTGGGTAAGAAGGTCATGGAAGAATCTATGAGACTGGATAATGATAATGCTCATACTTTGCATCAGATTGTGGAGGATGTGCTCAAAGAGACCATAAATAATATTTCACAGATAGATCTTAATGGAGTAGTTAAAACTGCTGAGTGGAAGCCCGATAAAAATTACAAGAGTGTCTAGTGTTTCATTTTACGAATGTGGAGTAGACACACCCATGAAGAAGTGGATACCAAATGGTGCATAAAAAAGGGCCTAACACCTGAGCCTTATCTTTATGAAATCCCAGAACCAGGCGAACGATTTGAATATATTGTAGTTGAGAATGAATCGTCACAGAAGGTAGGGAATAAAATGGAGTATCCAGAGGTAGTGAGGCGATTAGGTAAAAAGATCGATATTAGCTATTATCTGAAAACTGTTGTCGGCCTCTGTGCACGGTTTATTAACTATGATGAAAGGCATCAGCCGTCATCTGAAATTGTGCAAGGGGTCTTAAAAAAGTTAAAAGATGCTAATAAAGTGGGTGAAAATAAAGTGGATGATGGTGGGATAAATGAAGACGACCTGGATGAAGACGAAGAAAATAAAGACGAAATAGTTGAAGATGAGGTATCAAAAATAAGAGATGCCTTAGTGCAGAAATCAGCTGAGAAGTGGATTAGGAGGTATATCAAAAACCTACGTTATGATCCGAAAAAAGATAAAACCATCATATCTCATTTATGGGAAGATGCACGTATTTACGCAAAAAAATTATTTGATATTACTTATGCCGACAAGGGAGAACACTTGACTAACAATGCTTATTGCCAATCCTACATGAATGCGTTAGATAAGCAAGAAGAATCCATCCGCCTAAAACTTTCATCATTACTTAAAGAAATTTTTGAGGTTGATATAGGGTATAGAGAAAGTATGTATAAATTAGTTACTAAGAAGCGATCAATGTCCTTAGAACAATATTTAATATATTATTTGGATGAGTGGGTCCCAAAGGGACTGTGTAAGCTACTAGAAGATTTCCGAAACACATGGTACAAAGTAGTTGGCCTAGAAATTACACACTATCGAACATTATCAAAGTTACAGGATGATAAAAAAGATGATTCATTTGAAGTGGATATAGATGAGATCATCGAATTATATGGTTAAGTACTTTACTAATGGTCCAATATTAGCGATACTTATACAATATTAATAATATTTTTTTGTACATAAATAATATCAAAGTTTAAATAGAAAGTTCCTAATACCTGGCCCATGCATCCCGTAACCGATCACTCTTTTTACCTATATTCCATGTGCGTCTCAATATAACAATAACCGTAATAATTAACAGAGTAAGAAATATATATGCTGATAGCAGTGTCATCAAAGAGGGAGTATGTGTCTTTGACACTGGGCAGAGCCCATAATTTTCTGGCGGTGTAAGGTAAGGAGTCATATTTGGTATTTCTTGAAGTCTATTGTTAGTTTTGCTAATATCAATTTCATCACTTTTCTTAGAGTTGATCTTGGTATCATTTTTTGATAGTTCAGTAATCTCATCATGCCTCTTTGAGGCACCTAAAGGCCTGGTATATGTCTCGACATCACCATCGATTTTCTCTATAACTCAAAGAGTCGCCCCTAAAGGGCCTGGATCCATATTTTTTCTGCGTACTAAATATTTACTAAGATTATTAGGTTCACTAATCGCAACTATTTCATCAGAATTCGATAGAAAAGTCTGTTCATTGCCTTGTATATTTTTTTCGTCATCTCTACCAATTATAGGTTTTGATATATTTTCCGATTTTAGATGCTCCAACTCACTAACTTTAGAGGTTAGTTCATGTTTCATTTGTTCTAATTCAACTATTTTAGACTTGAGGGATAATATCTCGGATTCTTTTTTCGATGAGTCATTTTGAATCAAAACCACATCTTTCTGGGCCGAAGATAACTTACCTTCCAATATCTTGATCATAGACTCAAGTGATTTGATTTTCTTAGATTTTATATTATTTTCAGCTTTGGACTTCGCAAGAGAATGATCTTTATTAGCAATTTCGATTTGTAAATTGCTAGCTTTATCAATGAGTTCGAGATCATAAGTACGTAATTTCTGGATCTCAGTATTAGCATCTCCTAGTTTCTGACTCCACTTATTCCTTTCCCGATCCCACTTACCCCTCTCCCTGTTAAAATCTTTTTTTTGCTTTTCATACTTATCTTACAATTTAGCATTATAATCACGTACTATAGAGGAGCATTGGAGAATTTGTTGAATTTCTTCCTTGAGATCTTTTTCATAGATCATATCAAATAATAGATAATATAATAAAATACAGATAAAATTAGATAGTATATATGAGGTATGTGTTATGTATACAATGTGTACTATGCGTACTATACGTATTACGTGTATTACGTGTACTGGTTATCTATATTATGAACACTATACATATTACACATATTACACATATTACATGTACTAATTATTTTTTAAAAATATTATCAATATTATTGATATTACGTATATTACATATATTACGCATATTACACATATAAAAATAACATGACTAAACGTATGCGATCCGATGCAGTTCCATTATCTTCAGAAGATTATAAGTTTATTATGCAATATCGAGATGTACAGCCTAAAACTGACGTTTTAAAGATGTTAAGAGAAAGATATCCTATGACAAATAACTGATTTTATAAAATTTGGAGAGGGCAGGAAGTTAGTATGGTAGAATGGCATCAGCCTATATCAAAATCAATAACACCCTCAAGTCAGGATTTACTTATATCAGAATTATTCCCCGAATCATGCTCACCAAGTATTGACCATATCACCTCCACTGAAGAAAATAGTATAACTGAGAATTCTAACCAAATTAATATTCTGAACAAGCAGATTAAAAATAGAAAACCAAGATCTAGGGGCATAGCTTATCCCATGTCTCAAAGAGACACCCCTACAGGTCTGCAAAGCAATAAATCTGTACAGATTTCTGATTCATCTAATAGTGGAGCTAGTATCAAGGCACATATTATCAATAAAAGTGATATACCCAATACCTTAACAAAAAAAGCAGAAAAAGATGATCTGTATACTTTAATTGAGTGTGATCGTAAAGAATCAAAAGTAATCGAACGTGAATCAGAAAGAATTTTAGCCATGAAGTAACTGCTTTTAGCAAATCCCAGTTAATCTATCTTTGCTTTTTCTAGAGTGTTTTGCATTCCATGTAATATATCAATACTGGTAACCTTCTTGGACTTATTTACATGAAGTTGCAATTTCCTATTAAAATCCATTAATTTTACCTTGGATTCGAGTACCTCATATAGTGATTTTTCCAGCTCCTCATAACTCATGCGTTTTTTTTTAATGTCGAATCATCAGAATCTAGAGGTAGGATCTCATCCCCATCTATATCCTGGGAAATTTGATCGGATACCAAAAGCTTATCATTCTGAGATGCTGTAGCACAATTTACTTTGAGTTTATTCTTGACTTTGTGCATGTTTATCGGAATAAAATACTCTTTATCATTACATATGAGTTTTAATTCTCGTTTCGACGCTAGCAAATCATAATCATATTTGTCTAGGTGAGTATTTGGCAAAATTAGCATTGGCTTGTGATGTTTAACAACAGCAAAATCAGAATAAATAGTACAACCTGGAGTAAAAGTTACTGGAACATTACGGACAATTCCAATGGATTCAATAGGGGATGTAGCAATTCCACTAAGATCGTGTTTTTCTTTTGTATCGATTATAAATTTTAAACATTTAACAATATCTTCCGTGATAATTGGAAAATTTGCACCGGGGTCGACTGTGGCCGCCGGAATTACTAATCGTTTAATTTTGCATTTTGTAGTTACGACATCTGTAGCTGGATCTTTTTTTTGAACGAAATCTATCTTCATAGGATCGTCTAGCATTTCATCCTCCCCATCAGAATCAGGTATTTCTGGAGCTGGATTTCGATAATTCATAAAATCAGGTCTGGTAACAGATAAATTCGTGTTATTAATATTGTTTCTAATCGTTTTTATAACCTCTGGATCGTTAAACATTGCTAGAATAATTTCTCGAATTTGTGAATTGATAATCGTACCTGATTTCTTTTGTAAAGTATATTGAATCGGAGATTCGAGACTCTGCCTCTTCTTTGAAGTAGACTTCTTTTTAGAGGACAATTTACTCTTTGGCTTTACTTTTTTTTTGATTTAACAGCATTTATAATTTTCACGATGTTATCCTCAGTAAAGTCATTCTCAGAATCAGATTCCGATTCAGAATCAGAACTAGACACAGAGTCAGAATTGAAATTATTATTAGATAAGTCCGTATCTGAACTAGAATCAGAATCCACAACAACCTTATTGACATTACCTTTCTTTTTAGGTTTGTTCTTTTTTTTATTTTTCGAACATTTAGAAGAATTTGAACGATAACCAAATTTATGACATCCTGAGCAACGGTGTTGTGACTTCATAGCTTTTTTAACAGCTCTGGCTGCATGTAAATTTAATTGTCTTTGTATAAGATTGGTCAGTTCTTCATCAGAATCGACTTCATTATTTTTTATTACCGGTTTTGGAGGTAAACCAGGTTTAGGAATAGGAACGAATTCTGGAATTTCTCCAGTAATCCATTGTAAAAATCTACCAATATTTGTATTTTGTACAGTCTGATATGTTCCTGGAGGTTGTGGTCCATAGTAAGATTTAGATGGTTGTATTTGCTGAGAAATGGGTTGCAAAGAAATAGGCTGGGATTGTATGGATACCATTGTACTTTTTATCAGATTTTCAATTTCTTCTTTGGTCATACCTGTATTATTCGTTATATAAGGATCTTTTATATTAGTTGTAGATCGTAAATGAGAAGTGACTGGATGAGAATTGGGATCGTATTGCCCTAACATCAATTCAGCTTTCTGTCTTTCAATTTGTTCTAATTTTGGTAATAAAGTGGAAATTGGATTTTCAAGACCAATACGTTTTACTTCTAATTTATTGTCAGGGGAAAGACCTTGAAAGAATTGTTGTCTAATCATTTCTTCCCGATTTAATGCTGGGAGTGCTGGATAAGCAAGTACAACTATTCTTTTTAATTGTGCATAGAATCGGCCTATAGGATCAGTTCCTTGAATAATATTATTAAATACAACTTTTGATTTTTCAGCGGTAATCGTTGGATAATTTGTTCTGAGCCAGTATATTACTTGTCCAATATGAATACCAGGGGCAATAGTATTACCTCCTGCATTAGCATTGGGGGCATTGGGAGCTAAATCTGTTGGTTGTCCACCAGCTATTGACCAATCTTTATCGAAAACAGTATGTGCTGGCACTAATGGTATAGCAATTGTATTGTTGTCGGCTGGAACTGTATTTCTTATTTGAAGAGCTCCACCTCTAAACTGGTTAGCATTAATATTGCGCAATGCATTATTGTTAGCTAATCCATTAATAGCTCCAAGATTGGCCAAGTTGGTATTATCGCTAATATTTTGCAATTCTCAATTTTTATTCTTGAGACTTGTTTCATACCAATCTTTTGCATCACCTTTCAAACAAGTCTCAAAAAATCCGTGAATTCTTACTCTGGTTCGAGCATCCGCAAGTGGATCAAGTCCAGATGCTTCACAATATTGCCTAAAATCTCTAATCCATTCTTCAGGATCTTCTCCAGCTTTTCCATAAAATAGGGGTGGTGCGTATCCCGCCATTCTTTTATATTGGTTATTTATAATTTGATTATTGTGTAGTAATAAAATTTGGCCTTGTAAATTCAAAATTAATTGACGTTGTGCAAATTTTTCTGTCAATAATCTAACATTACGTTTTTTTTGTGCTCGGATGGTTAATCGTCCATATAATTCACGAGATCTCATAATAGTGTTTTTATTTTTCCACTTCTAATATCTGGCTATAAGTTGGTCACGCCAATATTCTAACATAGTCCCATTAGCATGACATTCTTGTAAATCTCTTTCGGCTTGATATGTTCTATTTCTATAAATAGTATATCGTCGATAAATCCATTGAAAATTATTTAAAGCTCTGCATCTGGCTCCAACATATGTTAAACCTAAAATACGCAAGCACTCTTTTAACTCGTTATATTCATTTTCCAGTTTTACAAAATTTTCAGATACTTTTACATAATCTATTGACTGGTCTTCAAAGTTTTGCTAAGTTTTCAATAATTCCCTTTGAATACCAATTATGGATTTTGTTAATCTATAATTTTCGGTATGATATAAATCTAACTGGTCTTGAATGGTCTGATTTTATTTCTGCCAATTCATTGGAAAGATCCTATTGATTTCGGATTATATCTACTTGCTCATTTATAATTTGTTGTTGAACAAATAGACGAGTTTCATTTTCTTCAATAATATCTTCTTTTATACAACCAATCTCATAATTATATTTATTTTTAATTTGAGCTATTCTCAATTCGGTTTGTGTTTGAAGATTATTAATTTCATCAAAAAGTAATGGGTCCCCATTTCCTCTATAACAATCAGCTAAATATTTGAAATTATTTCAGACCTTAATCAATAATATGGGAATTGTTTCAGAACCACTGGCTATATTATTTGACATTCGAATATTTTGGCATAATTGTTGGATTCTATGTTGAAGTGAAGATATTTTATTACTCATTTTTAGTAATTGTGATTCAAAAAAAATATTATTTTTATTTTTACATCCAACATCTTGTAATGCCCATTTGAGGTATTTCTTAAGATTCACATTTTTTGATTTAAAAATTTCAATTTCATCATCCTGACCAGTAATCTGTTTTTCAAGAAATAAAATATAATCCTCGCCTGAGACAATTTATATTCCAATTTTCGAATTTATGTTTCAAGAGAGGTCATCGAAATTTATTCTAGTTTATAATATAATAAGTAATATCAAAGATGAGTAAATTGAGCAAGTCCATTATTAAAATCGACCCATATGAAGAATTAAACTTAATATGTAAATTGCTTTTTTATCAACCCACTGGTTATCATCCCAATGCTCAAAAATTATATAAAGATCTCAAGAAAAAAGAATATAATTTTTCATATAAAAAAGTTCAGGAATGGTTGCATAACCAGAATGAATAACAAAAATATGCTCCATTATCAAAAGATATTCCACGAGTTAGTTATGCTAAAATTCAAAAACCAAATTGTGTACATCAGTGCGACCTTTTATTTCTTACGCATGATAAATATAAGGAGAAGATATGGAAAGCAGTATTACAGATTATAGACATATTTAGCAGGTTCAAAACAACTGTTCCTCTAATATCAAAGAAAAGTTTTGAAGTTGCTAAAGCATTTAAGAAGATTTATAATAATCCCAATAACCATCTTACGTACCCGATACTTTTACAATGTGATGGTGATAAAGAATTCATGGGTGAAACTGCTCGATTAATGGAAGCGCATAATATCACAATTCGAGTAATTGGTGCTTATAGTTATCATGAATTAGTTCTTGTAAAATGCTTCAATAAAACTTTAGCTGAAATGTTGTACAAGATACAATCTGCCATTGAAAGTATATCTTCAGATTCTAAATTGATAAGGACATAGGTTAAGTATTTACCAAAAGTTCTTGAATATTTAAATAATTACCTAACACGTTTTATTCGAGCTTCAGGTTCAAAGAAATAGGGATTAGCACCTATAAAAGCAATCAAGTTAGAATAAGTAGAATCCCGGCCATCCATGAAATATAAATGTCCTGTTGGGAAAAATAAAGAGAATAGGTTAAAGAAAGAAGACTTCATTCATTATCTGCTTGCTAATGCCGAATAGAAAGATGGTATGAAGAATCAGAAATGCGCAACTGATGAAATTTTCAGCTCCTCTTTACATAAAATTCAGAAATCGTAATAACAAAGAATGAACCAGTTTTATATTATCTCGGAGATGATGATGATGAATATGTTTCAAAGCGTGAATTTGTGAGAGATGAACTTTTATATGTGAATATTGATATGCTTCAGTATCCTCCCTAGAGTATATTGGAAGAAAATACTCATTCCAGGTCTGTTAATTTCATTCGCGTTGTAAATAAAATGACCAAGGCTCAATAATTTGCTGAAAAGCATGGTGGAAAATGTCTTGGTAAAACTGATTATATAAATGGATTCGATGTATATCTTTGGTTCTGTGAAAATGGAAAACATCAATGGGAAACATTTTATAAAATCCAGAAGGATAAATTCAAATGGTGTCCAGTTTGTTTCCACCATACCGATGAGTATCAGTATAGATATATTTTCGAAGATCTGTCAGATAAGAAATTTTTATCTTGTAAACTGTCATTTTTGAATGGAATACAATTAGACGGATATAACGAAGAGCAAAATTGGCATATGAATTTAACGGGGTACAACATTTTCGTATTATTCCAAAACACTTTCATCCTAATGGTAAGGTTGATTATATAAATCAAAGGAAGTGCAATTAAAAAAAGTGAAATATATGCAAAGAGCGAGGTATAGATCTTATTTGTATCCCATTCTATTGTAATTTATTTCTCTATATAAAAAGAAAATTACAAGAGAGAGGTTATTTATCGTATAAATAGTAAATATTGCATATCTTGGTTAAAATAAAAGATAAAGGTATGCACATATATGTATATAATATCAATGAGACATCTAAAAAGTCATCAGAATGAATAAAGAATAATAAGTATTCGCCAGACTACCCATTTAGGGTGCTCATAAATGGAAGCTCTAATAGTGAAAAAACTAACATGGAAATAAATCTTATGCTTGGTAACAAACTACAATGCATGTTCAATGGAAAAAAAAGTAATCGGTATATTAGAAATGATGATCTCAGATTAGTAGTCAAACATTTTGAACCAAAATGGCAACTTGTACAAAATAGCTATCAGATTTTTGCAAATGCTCCAAAACCATATCGAGAAGATATTACATTTAAATAGATATTATCAGATAAGATTCCAGATATAACTAAATTCTCTCCAGAATGAAGCATGGTTATTGTTTTTAAGGATCTATATGCCGAACCCAAAAAAGTGCAAGAACAAATTATTCTTTACTTAATTAGTAGCCAGCATCAAAATGTCTCACCTATATATATAAGCCAGAAATATACACAAACATCAAAAATTATTTGTAAAAATATTTTGCATTTATGCCTATTTTGGGGCTTAGGTAAAAGAGACGATATTAGTAAAATCGTACGTCAATATACAGATGATTCAAAAAAGGTATCCAAGATTATTTATAAGCATTTGCAGGATCGTAAATTTGTGATTTTTGATTTTACTAAGGCGGTAGACGATCTTTTAGCAATTAGACTGGGCTGGAATACTGCTTTAAAATCAGATGAATAAAACGAGGCATATTCATTGGATAAATAGGTATTTTTTTTCTCTCGTTATTTATTAATACATTAATATACATACATCCTACTCGCCACTTCTATTAAGAAGCTGTCTGTACCCAGAGCCATGATTGAAATTGAGGTGGATGTGTGATAATAACAAGTAGGATCAGTTTTCTATACTAGTGATTTTTGTGTCAGATGAAGATAGGTTGATATAGAAAATTAAGAAAAAATAGCTATTAATCATTATGAAATGAAATAACAGTAAATAAAAGTCTAAAGTATTAATTCTCAGTAATATTTTAGGTGGTTTATTTTAAATAGATATATATATATATACGAATAAGTCATATAAAAAGTCATATAATAAGTAGATATGTGTGTATTGCAAGGCTATACATTGTTAACTTGTCACATTTCTTCTCGAATTGTCCATAATAATTGATATTGTAATGCTAATTTCGAAGTACAGAAACCATCTGATTTATATATATATTCAAGCCATTTCTGCAATATAATATTTATAGCTCTAATTTTTCTACCGATTTCTCTTGCACATTTAACTTTTCTGATAGTATTCTGCATCCACAATTCATAATGGTGTAATGCATACTCATTATCATAACTATGTTCTGAATTGGATTTTTGCTTAATTTTCATATATTCTTCATAACTTATATTACAAAAGGAATTTCCAGTACAATGAGAAGCCCAATGCCTCTCCATTCCTATATGATTATAAATTACCTATATTTTTGGTTCTTTTTCCTGTATATACTAATTGATTACAAGAGAAACAGATGGCAATACCAATTTCAGGTGCATAACTTGTATAAAATCACCCAATGCAACCAAGCAATATAAAATATTTGGGTCATCATGTTCATTCCAATGGCAGTCGCTTATTGTATTAAAATTTATTGCAATCATAGGGAAGACACTGAATGATTTAAGCGCGAAAGGTCATCAATTTAGATAATTATCGTAAAATCACATGATACAAACTCGTTAACATGTTACAGTAGGTTTCAAAAACTCACTGATCACTTCTTGGCAAAAACCGTTTCCCTGGGAAATGATCAGAAAAAAATTTTTATTAATACATGAAACCTGCGATACAAACGTCTATGCTATGTCTATGAGATTACTCAATGACCTATGCTAATCCTACTGCCTAGCTAACTACCTAGCATTTACGTGATCTGAAAATTCGTCCAGCATTCTTTATAGAATGTCTATAAAATACAGTGGTGATCATATTTTTTTGGACAACTTTAAACGTGATTTAATAAATAACCAGTGATCGAAAAATTAAATTTTTTTTTTATTTAAAAATAAAAAACCAAGAGATTTTT